TGTGTGTGCGTGTGTGTTTATCCGGGTGCGGTTGGTGGTGGCTGGATGAGAATGTAACCCGGTTACGAGCTGACTAAACAGCTGCACAAATCTACAGATTTTCATTAATATTTCACATTTAATTTACATTTATGCCTGCTTTTTTTTTTTTGGCTGTAGTTTTTGCTTTTTATATTGTTTGCACGTATTTCGTTTCATGTATATTTGTAGTACTTTTTCTTTTGTTTGGTTTTGGTTTCGTTTTCACACTATTTGCCTACTCACTTAACTGATCTTAACCCGAATTGCAACTGGTGCAGGTAACGCGGCTTGGACGCCTGTCGAGAATACCTATAATCACTTTCTAACACTCGATCTGGGCGGGCCACAAATGGTGCGCAAGATCGCCACCATGGGACGCATGCACACCGATGAGTTTGTGACGGAGTACATTGTCCAATACTCGGACGATGGCGAGTATTGGCGCTCGTATGTTAACCCCACGAGCGAGCCGCAGGTACAGTGACTAACACACTACTAGTCTAATTTCATAACTAACTAAGCCTAACTAAAAGCTAAATTCAAGAAGGGGCAAATTTGTGGCATGGTGCAAGGCGCTTGGGGCATTTGTTATATAGTTATTAATGCAGACACTTACCCAAAACAGATGTTCAAGGGCAACACCGACGGCAATTCCATACACTACAATGTCTTCGAGGTGCCCATTATTGCACAGTGGGTGCGCATTAATCCCACGCGCTGGCATGATCGCATCTCCATGCGTGTCGAGCTCTACGGCTGTGAATATGGTGAGTAAACACCATGTTTATATCAATTCCTGCTAAAGCCACTTCTTTTACAGTCTCGGAGAATCTGTATTTCAATGGCACCGGCCTGGTGCGCTATGATCTGCGCCGTGAACCCATTGCCTCGTCCCGCGAATCTATACGTTTCCGCTTCAAGACCGCCTTTGCGAATGGCGTCATGATGTACTCGCGCGGCACTCAGGGCGATTACTATGCACTGCAGCTAAAGGACAACAAGATGGTGCTGAATCTCGATCTGGGCTCGGGCATTATGACCTCGCTCTCGGTGGGCAGTCTGCTGGACGATAATGTGTGGCACGATGTGGTCATATCGCGTAATCGACGGGACATCATATTCTCAGTGGATCGAGTCATAGTGCGTGGACGCATTCAGGGCGAGTTTAGTCGATTGAATCTCAATCGGGAGCTGTACTTGGGCGGTGTGCCCAACGTGCAGGAGGGTCTCATTGTGCAGCAGAACTTCTCGGGTTGTTTGGAGAACATTTATTTCAACTCGACCAACTTTATAAGGACCATGAAGGAGAGCTATGAGCTGGGCGAGGCATATTTGTATAATAGGGTGAACACCATATATGCTTGCCCCTCGCCGCCCATTTACCCTGTTACCTTCACGACGCGCGGCTCGTTTGTGCGACTGAAGGGCTATGAGAACTCGCAGCGTTTGAATGTGTCCTTCTACTTCCGTACGTACGAGGAGAGCGGCGTTATGGTACACCACGACTTCTACTCGGGCGGCTACATCAAAGTGTTTCTGGAGTTTGGCAAAGTGAAGATTGATCTCAAAGCCAAAGACCAGGCACGCATCATTCTGGACAACTATGACGAACAGTTCAACGATGGCAAATGGCATTCGTTTGTGCTTTCGATTGAGCGCAATCGCCTCATTCTAAATATTGATCAACGTCCAATGACAACGACCAAGAATCTGCAGATAGCAACTGGACGTTTGTATTACATAGCCGGCGGTAAGGAGAAGAATGGCTTTGTGGGCTGCATGCGCCTCATCTCAGTGGATGGCAACTATAAGCTGCCACAGGATTGGGTGCAGGGCGAGGAGGTTTGCTGCGGCGATGAGGTTGTTGTCGACGCCTGCCAAATGATTGATCGCTGCAATCCAAATCCCTGCCAGCACAAGGGTGTATGCCATCAGAATAGCATGGAGTTCTTCTGCGACTGCGCACACACTGGATATGCGGGCGCTGTGTGTCACACCTGTAAGCAACAACAATGTGCTTTTTGGTGTACAAGTAACTCATTCGCTTCTTTCTTACAGCCAACAATCCTCTGTCTTGCCAGGCTTTGAAGAATGTGCAGCACGTGCAGCAGCGTGTTAATCTGAACATTGATGTCGATGGCAGCGGTCCGCTGGAACCTTTCCCAGTTACTTGCGAATTTTACTGTGAGTGCATGTGTGTGCGTTTGTTGTTCTGTCATCAAATCTCATCAATCTTGTTTATAGCTGATGGTCGCGTTATAACCACACTGAGTCACAGTCAGGAGCATACGACGACGGTTGATGGCTTCCAGGAGCCCGGCTCCTTTGAGCAGTCCATCATGTACGATGCCAATCAACTGCAAATTGAAGCATTGCTCAATCGCTCGCACAGCTGCTGGCAGCGTCTGAGCTATTCCTGCCGTTCGTCGCGTCTTTTCAACTCGCCAAGTAAATATATATATAGCAAGTTTTAAGATTCGTTCTGGATATTAATTATACATTTCACAAATAGCTGAAGCTGGTAACTTCCGTCCCTTCTCCTGGTGGATTTCGCGTAACAATCAGCCCATGGACTACTGGGCCGGCGCTTTGCCTGGCTCGCGCAAATGCGAGTGCGGCATCCTGGGAAAATGTCACGACCCTACCAAGTGGTGCAACTGCGATTCCAACAGCCTAGAGTGGACCGAGGATGGCGGAGATATACGTGAAAAGGAACATTTGCCTGTGCGTGCGGTTAAGTTCGGTGACACTGGCACACCGCTGGATGAGAAGCAGGGCCGATATACGCTGGGACCCATGCGCTGCGAGGGCGATGACTTGTTTAGCAATGTTGTCACGTTCCGCATAGCTGACGCTTCAATTAATTTGCCGCCCTTTGACATGGGTCATTCGGGCGACATTTATCTGGAGTTCCGCACCACACAGGAGAACTCGGTGCTGTTCCATGCCACTGGCCCCACCGACTATATCAAGCTGAGTCTGAATGGCGGCAACAAGCTGCAGTTCCAGTACCAGGCCGGCAGCGGTCCACTCGGCGTCAATGTGGGCACCAGTTATCATCTGAACGACAACAATTGGCACACTGTGAGCGTTGAGCGTAACAGAAAGGAGGCGCGACTGGTTGTCGATGGTTCCATAAAGGCTGAGGTACGCGAGCCACCAGGTCCTGTGCGTGCTCTGCATCTGACTTCAGATTTGGTCATTGGCTCAACAACTGAGTACCGCGATGGTTACGTGGGCTGCATACGTGCTCTCTTACTTAATGGAAAGATGGTGGACTTGAAGCAGCACTCAATGCGTGGAATCTACGGCATCAGCACGGGCTGCGTGGGTCGTTGCGAGTCTAGTCCTTGTCTCAACAATGGCACCTGCATTGAACGCTACGATGGCTACAGCTGCGACTGCCGCTGGAGTGCTTTCAAAGGACCCATTTGTGCAGATGGTACTACTGGTTTTTGCTATATTCGCCACTGTCTTAACTAATGCTTGCCAATTATTTATTTTTCGCTTGCAGAGATTGGCGTCAATTTGCGATCCAGTTCTATTATTCGCTACGAGTTCGAGGGCTCGTTCCGTTCCACCATTGCAGAGAATATACGCGTGGGCTTCACAACTACCATACCCAAGGGCTTTTTGCTGGGTTTCTTTTCGAATTTGACAGGCGAATATTTGACCATACAGGTTTCCAATTCAGGTGCTTATAAGAGTGTAATATGATGCGTAGAATAGGTTTAAATATTCCCATGTTTTCACTTTGTAGGCCATTTGCGGTGTGTGTTTGACTTCGGCTTCGAGCGTCAAGAAATTATATTCCCCAAGAAGCATTTCGGCTTGGGTCAGTATCATGACATGCGTTTTATGCGCAAGAACAGCGGATCCACGGTGGTGCTGCAAGTGGATAATTACGAGCCAGTCGAGTATCACTTTGATATCAAGGCGTCGGCGGATGCGCAGTTCAATAACATCCAGTACATGTACATTGGCAAAAATACCTCAATGACTGACGGTTTTGTTGGCTGTGTATCGCGTGTGCAGTTCGACGACATTTATCCACTAAAACTGATGTTCCAACAGAATCCACCCAATAATGTCAAGTCGCTGGGCAGTAAGTGTTGTTTATAGGGAGTAACTCTGCATTCGCTACATTTTATAAACTCTTGTAGCTCAATTGACAGAAGACTTTTGCGGCGTTGAGCCCGTAACGCATCCACCCATTGAAATTGAGACCAGACCGCCGCCACTGGTGGATGAGGAGAAGCTGCGCAAGGCTTATAATGAGGTCAACTCCGTGCTGTTGGCATGTAAGTACATAAACTAGGACGCCAGTAAAGATCCTGTTGTAATATCCTGCTTTTCGTTTTCAGTTTTGCTCGTCATACTCTTCCTGTTGCTACTACTGATGTTCTTCCTGATTGGTCGCTACTTGCACCGACACAAGGGCGATTACTTGACGCACGAGGATCATGGCGCCGATGGAGCTGATGATCCGGATGATGCTGTTCTCCACTCAACTACGGGCCATCAGGTCAGAAAGCGTACAGAGATTTTCATCTAAGCTATCGAGTGCAGCAATCTCTGAAAAATCAATCGCCTTAAACAAAAACCAGCAACACACAACTGAGCGACGACTCGTACACAAAACAAAAAACAAAAAAAGAATATATATACATATATATATATAAACACACAATCAAACGAATTAGGAAACGAATATGATAAATTATCATTGATAATAGATTCGAAGGCTTTTCCCCACAACACACTGCCAATTATTTTGAGCAATTCTTTTGCTTTGAAATTTGGTTAACAATTGGTTGCTGATTACTTTTTACCTTACTTTATCGTATTGTAACATTTTGCTTCTGTTTAATGGCAAATCAATTTTTTAATTTTTATTTTACTTTGTACTTTGAACGAACACTCAATAGTCATCGAAGACCGTCCATTTTTGTTTAGTTAACTTTTTATACACAATTTGCTTACCAAATTAAGTTACGATTGTACTTTAAGTTGCTGCACGCTCTACAGCCCGTCATCCAGCCAATTACATTTATATGTTGTGCACGTATTCATATATATATATATGTCAATATATATATATGTATGTATACTTGCACAACAATACCAACAACATTCCATTATATTTAAAACGTTTTTTTCTGCCTCTACTTATTATGTAAATCTTTTCAAATGTCTTCTAATTTACACAAAAACAAAACAAAATTTAATCATTTTTGTAGTAAAACAAAATGCTAAGTTGTAAAAGTTTAGTTACGAAATGAGAAAATGAATTGTATTTTTGGAAAATGCAATTGCATATTTGAAATATACATATTTGGCATATGTATATATATATATACATGAACAGTAGTATATACACTGTGTGTTTACACTGACATAATAAAGATTTTTTCAAATTTCAATAAAATTAATTATATATACAAGAAAAGTCGTTTATGAACTTACCGCTTGCTCTTCGTATCTATGCAAACTATTTGATTTGCCCGTTTTCAGTCTCTTAATGTTTATTTAATATAATGCTGTGTACTAAAAATATATGTATGTATGTATATAGGTTTGTGTGTGCGGGTGTATACATATTTAGAGGCTATTCCATATTCATACTATATCATGGTTGTATAACAATATCGTTTAACGCTATTTTTGATTACTACAGGGTCTTCAATTTGTTCTCTACTACGTTACTGGAATATTTCGATTCACTTGTGTGTGTGTTTGCGTGTGAGTGTGTATATATATATATATATATATATGTATATATATAATAATGCTATATGTATTATCCAACAACAGTCTAAATCGCATCTAACGTTAAGATAGAATAACACTGGGTGGGTATATGTATATGCAATACTTGGCAATAAGTTGATGTTGAGGTCGTCCCTAATCTTTCAGTTCCTAACTTGTTCGAAGCCTTGCCAGAGCTTTTGCTAATTACTTATTCGTTGTATCTAGAGTAACTATCAATATGGGTTTATCTCGACTTAATCGCTGCGCCAGTGTTTGGTTTAATATAATAATCTATTAGTGCCTAGTGCAAATCCACTTGTGTCTAATGTGTGGGTGTATATATGGATATGTTTTAACAGAGCATCGGCCAACATATCTAAATGGAAGTCAACAGTTTGCTGTATTGATTATGTACTCGGGGATAAGTATTGGTTCGATACTGCGTATATGCCTCGATATTCTTTGCATCAAACCCAAATCTCTGTTCAAAAATCTATCACAAAAGTCGTAAATGGCAAAACAGAAAGCATAAAACTACAAGCTTAAGCTGCGCCCCCACACACTTACTGGCGAGTGCAGCATATTGTCCACATTTCATCCCGGCGTCCGGCCAGCCCAACTAGTTATGCACATTGTTGTTGGCCAGCATGCGGTAGCGATTCAACAGCATTACGGCAGCATCTTGGGCGGGCTTGATCTTGCCGTGCGCCTCCTCGTAGGCGCCAAACAAGATTCGTTCTCACAAAATAGTGCAGAGCACAAACAGCATGGACACCAGGCACAGCATGGCCACAATATCTCGGTGCAGCTTTCGATCCCGGTAAAAGGGTCGCGTGCCGAAGCTCTCGCTACGCGCCCGTCGCAACAGCCATATCGGGATGACCAGATGCAGCAAATCCGGCAGCATAAAGCCAATGTCGCGCACCACCTGATGGGCTGCCCCCTCGCCGCGCACCACATTCATGAAGAACTGGTCAAAGCTGCCGGCCAGGATGTGCAGCAGCGCAATGCCCACAATGCAGAACACCTTCTTCGGCTTAACGACATTCGTGGTGCTGGCCAGGTGCATGACTAGCACTGTGGAGAACAGCTCCGTTATCTGTAAGAAGAGTAAGAAGAGTTTATGTATTTTCATTTCATTTCTCACAGATATCTCTGAAGCTATAAAGCCATATGTATATTTTAATATATTTGTTAGGCTTTTAAATTAATTACAAATATAACCGAGTTTTCTGTTTTGGAGCATTCTACCTTATATATAAGCAAATATCACAGATCGAACGAAAATTAATTTCTTCTTTTTAAAGATATCTTGAGTAAATCTTAGCTACATCGGACTTCTATAACTAATATATGATTTAGCTGTCATGGGATCTAGTTGTGTTTGCTTGTACTGCAAAAAGTAGCTGAGACCGAATTGGAATTTATTGACTGAAGTCTTAATACTTGGAATTTCTATAGATTTTCAAGGGAAAGGAGTGATGCCTTTTCCATTTGCTGTGTGACTTGTTGCCCTTTCATCATAAACTGGGCTTGGCATTAAGTACACTTGCGTCGACTGCCCGATTGGGCCAATAACGTTGGCTCATTAACGTTGGCCAACTGTAGAAAGTTGCCGTTTTGCGTCGATTGCTTGGCCACTTGAAACTTTCTGCATTCCGTCATTTAACATATTTAATTACGGCCAATGTCAGTGCATGACTTATCCTTAAATATATATACCAAGAGTTCCGGCAATTCAGTGCCGGATGGACGTACCGGAGCTGCATAAGTTTTATAAGTGGCCCACGTGAAGCACGGTTAGAAAGTTGAGCTCAACACGAACACGAACACGGCGCATATTGTGTAAGTTTTAAGCATGGGAATTTTTAAAACAGAACTTTCCTAATAAATTATGGATAACCGCTTGGCCCGGCCACTTGTCTGCCCAAGCACGCACACACACACACACACACATACACTCAACCGACGTGGTGAAGTGAGTCGAAGGGTTCTGTAGCTTACCGTGAAGAAGAGTTGGTGATTCCATTGATTGTAGTAATCGTCGTTGTAGTAGTTGATATACGCCCACCAGGCATAATAGTGCGAGAAGATGGAGAGCAGGAAGAGCAGCAGCATTGAGTAGCGCACCCGCTGCTGCAGTATCAAGGCGATGAGCCGCTTGATGCACTCGTAAAGTGCAATTACCGCAAATACGGTCAGTATCCACATCTTGAAGCTATTCGGCGTTGCATTGAAGTACATGTGCTTATAGGCGGCCACGCCCGATTCGTAGGGGCCCTTGAAGACGGTATCCCAGCAGGAGCACGTGCAAAAGTGCCGGTCCACATACCTTGCATAATTCTCCCAAAAGTACCACAATATGACTATATGAGCCGGCGGTATCAATGCCGGCGCCAGTGAGCCGCAGGCGGTGGGCAGCCAGGTGACATCGAACATTGCGCTGCTGATGCCAACGAATTCCGCTAAGCTCTCGTGTAAGTCCGATTGGTTTGCTTCACTGGCTGACTACCTGACTGCTTACCTGCTCACCTGGCTACCTGACTACCTGGCTAGCTGACTGGCTTTCACGCAATTCGAGCGGGTTCCGGTTAGTCCATCGTCCAACACTTAAGCTGCAAGCAGACAGTGTGAAAAAATGTTTTCCCTCTTTTTTAATAGCCCGTACACACCGACACACACGCACGCACACTTTTCCGCCGCAAAATGTTCCAATTACTGATAAAAATTGACCATAACAAGACTGTCAGATGGGAATTTTTCCAGTTCAAACGACTGATTGAATAACTCTGACTTGTATATGGGCAATTATAGGGCCACGCACCTGCTGCTCGGACGTCTTCAGCGGAAAGAAAACCAAGGAAAACCGAGAAAAACTTGCATTTCTTTTCATGCTATCAGCATTTATGCATATTCAACGTGAAAGCTTTTGAACTTCGGTTCCAAGACATTGACAAACAAATTAATGGCTATAAAGGGTAGAATTCCATTTGTAGCTTTTGCCGCTGTCGTTGCATTGAACATGTTAAAGTTCTCTGGAGGGGCATGCCGGACTGGGAGATACCCTAAGGCCGAGCGACCGTAACAAGCATTCTAGCTTTCTTCTATGCACACACATATATATACACGTAGTCACATTATGGGAAGTGTGTTCTTGAATAACTTCGGTCTTCATAGTCCGATCATTGAGAAATTTTCGGAGTCCAAATTAGGCAACTAAATTGTTTAAATTCTAGAAAAAGGCATGGGAGAATTTGTAACTCATGTCATGAAGAGAATTTATTTAAGTTTTTATGCGACATGATTTTAAATTGGACAACAATAATTCAATTGAAATATCTTCGATTGCATGCTGAATGTGTTCAAAATGTATAAAAATGCTTTCCGAAAATTGTTGCTATTTGCATGGCAAACATTTGTTCTACTTATGAAAATAAACACAAACGAGCCCAAATATTAATCAGCAATATTTCGAATGTCACAGAATGGCAGCATGCATGCACATGCACATATGCACACACATATATATATATATATATATATATATATTAATATGTATATTTTTATATATATTCCACATTTTGGCACACAGCATCACAAATTGCGAGTACTCAGAATGAGTGCCATTCGTGCTTTTGTTGGCTGTTGGCTGGGAAACAGGGCCCGGCCCAAGAATGAAGCAATTATAAATTCATACGCTTGTCAGAGCAGATGAGACAACCAGCCAGCTAGCATTCCACAGACGCAGCACATCCAAATGCAACCTCCTGGCATGGGTGCCAACAAAACAACAAAAAGCAAAGAGAAGAGACGGGTATGAGAAGCCAAACCGTGCGGTCATTAGTGCCGCACAATGTACAGAGGTATATCGTGTTGAATGGGTGCGGGCAACTATTTGAGGCAACAATTTTCGGGAGAAAAAAAAAGGCAACTTCTGCTGGTGCCCCCTGCAAGTGCCTGTGGTTGGGCCTGGGCGTCAGTTGAATTAATCTGCCGTATCTGAATTTGCAGCTGCCAGCGAAAAAGTATTTCGATTTGATTGGTTTTTTTTTTTTTTTTTTTTTTTTTTTGGTTTGTTGGCTTTTTGCTGTTGCGCCACAGTTTAATAAAAACAAATAACAAAAACAAGCGCAAACGCAACTTGCACATTGACGTCATATAGTTCTTGAATGAAAACTTTTTTGTGTTTAACTTATTGAGATCGAGTGCAAATGCGGCAGCAACAAAAATCGAGAACGAAAAATTGAGCTGAAATCATTGCAAACAGCATTAAATTCTAATTTAAATCAGTTCCACAAAACTTGTTTATGCATTCAATTTATTTGAATTTCCCATTGCCAACATTTGATTTACGTTTCGGCTGAAGCTCAACCGGAATAATCCCGACCGTGTTGCCAAAGAGCGGCGTAAGCTGGTTTGTTTTCAGCTTTAACTTAACCAGTTAATTTATTTTTGAAATAATTGCTGTTTGCAGTCTTAGCTGCCGGTTTGTCTAGCAGGTAAATGGGTTAATTTGTGCACTGAGCGAAATTATCAACAGCTATTCCTTGAGGCCTTTAGTTAAACTCAAGCGAGGTAGCATTGTTTTTAACAATATTTTCAACAATTTGAATATAAACAATTCAACGAAAATCTAATTCTTATATGCTAGCAAATATGGGAACGTTGGAATAATATTTATGTGAAATAATGGACATATAGTTGGCACTTCTGCATAGTTCTATTGAGAGCTAGTTTAATGTTAAGGGATGAATTCCAATTAATATTTTCGGTGTGTGCTAATATATTGTTTTGTTAACCGCAGGGCCTGTCCTTGTGTCCTACTGTAAGCTAATTAATTTAAATGTATGTGTATATATTTATTATAAGTACCTGTTCTATATATTTATCTATGCTATACATTTAAGCATATAGTTAGATACATATATATATATATATCTATAGAACGGAAGTAGACAATCTGATTAAAAGCTAGCTGCTGGATTAATATAACCTAATAATACTGTTCAAGTTAAGAGAGCAGCAAGTCAATTAATTTAATCCAGATTATTACTATTTACCCTAAATCAAATGTACAGCACAAGCGGGATTTCAAAGATTCTATTTCACATGAGCTTCGATTTAGTTGCACACACAGCACAATGACTTGCAGCTATTTGCGTTAAAAGGCTCGCAGGATATCAGGCTTGAGTGGTTATTCGCGCCAAGTTTGTTTGCCGAGTCATCAAATTAAACTTTGTGCTACTTACAAAGTGCACACACACACACACACACACACACACAAAATCAAATGTCTACAGAGCGTGTTACATACGCCCCCAAAATCCAACTGTCTGGAGGCTTCAAGCAAACAACACCGAGTCGAGACAGCAACAACAACAACGACAACAACAACAACAGCAACGACAACAACAACAACAACAACAAAAACAACAACAATTATAGCAGTGACAGTAAAACCGTCAACAGTCCTCGCACCTTCACTTGACTTGCATTGTCGCACACACGCTGGCAGCGGCAACGCGTCGTATGTGTAATATGAGGCTAACACTTGGCAAGAATCCTGCACCCGCTGGGCTTTAGGCCCTGCCGTTGCTGTTGCCTGTCTGGGCTGTGTTAGTCTTAGCCATTGAGTTGTTGTATTCTTTGCATGCTCATTTGTGTCTCCTTCAATTGTCGTTGCCAGCTGCTGTTGTTGTTGCTGCTGTCGTTTGCCTGAAGTGTGACAGACGCTTTGCCACGGCGCCGGCGGCTTGTTGCTATCGTTATTGTTGTTATTTTTGTTGTTGCTGTTGCTGTTTACAGTAGCTTTCGGCAGCCATAAAAGTGCCTCCATATACATATGCATTGCAGTTAAGGGCGGCATTAAAGTGAACTTTGATATGCAATCATATTACGCATACGCCGTGTGTCTCTGCTGAGCAATATTACGCTTGCATTAGATAATGAGCTCTGGGCACGTTAGCAGGCGCTCATATAGAGTGTAAAGCAACCCCTTACACACACTCACACACTCGCACACACACACCCGCCTAATGACATGTGTTTGACTGACATTCACGTTGAGATAAACCGTTGGCAATAATATTTAAGCATTGCCTATGCCTGACATTTGTTTGGTCAATATTTATTTTGACTTCGGGCACGATATGCCGCTTCAGGCAGACAAACTCTCACACACACACACACACACACAGCCCTGCACTGGCATAAAATTTGCAACTACAACAGGCATTCAAATACAATTGGCCCTGTCAAGTCTGTGTTGTTGACTGAAAATTGCTTTCAGCTGCTCGTCGCTGCATCCTCGTTAGTTGCGCACAAGTACAATGAACCAGACGAAAGGACGCAGCCGGAAAAAGCGAGGAATACGACGATGACGACAGTGGCAGAACCGGTTTAAATGTTTAGTAAATATACAGAGTACAGAAAAATAGCAGAAATAGAAAAATGCGGGTACATACAAACAGTGGAAAATCGAAAGAAAATTAAGTGGCCAAAGTGCTTGCGGGTACCCACACACACACAAACACACACATGCGGCAGTTGCCTACCAGCTTAATCTTTGAATGGGATGCTGAAACAATACACACACACACACACACACACGCACACACACATGCATGTACACACCGATTTAAGCCTTACACGTTATACGCTTTTGGCCGTCGGCACGGGCCGTAACATGTGTGACATGGCTTTTGGTTTTTTTCACAACTTATTTGCTGGCAATTAGCAAAAATCAAGTAACTTTTTCTATTCAATGCACTTGCAATTTGCTGTAAAAGTCTGTTGAAACAAACAAACCGCGGGCGCGTCGTGAAAAAAGCCGACTGAAATTTTTGTTATGCTGGCTGCGTGTGAATTCTGCTCTCGAGTGGGAAGCGATGCTTCGGCAGCGACGAGTCTGAACATCGGCAGCGCCAACGCCAGCGCCGGCGCCGGCGTTCTGTTGTCGTTGTCTGGCCAATGCATTGCAGCAACAAAAATACTGGGCACGGCTCTCAGCTGTTGCCACCCACGCAACTCGTTGCGCGCGCGAGAGTGACAAAATATGGGGAAATTTTGCGGCGTCTTTAGTCACAAATTAAGCATACGCACTGTTGCTGCCATTTGCGGCCAGGCAAGCGGCAAGCGCCGGCTTTGGCCACATACACAACGTACACATATAAACATTTGCTTCTGTTTTCGTTGTTGTTATTATTGTTGTTGTTGCTGTTATTGTTGCAAAGCCATATTAACACAAAACTAAAGTTTTTATTCATTTTTTTTTGTGGCTTTTCTGTGCACCTGTTGCGATGGCCACTATTGGCGCGCGCTGTTGGTCAATTGCCAGCTATTGGGAGTTGGGCTTTTTAATTTTCTAGTTTTATGTACTAAAATACTTGGCTTAACACTCGTTTGTCTCGTTGTCGATCATTGCTTATAATGATAATAAGTGTAATTGATAAATAAATATTGCTAGGGCATTTTTAAGGAATACATAATACATAATTAAAGGAATAATAAATCAAATCACATACCGCATCCTTTCTTTTGCTATATTTTGAACCGAAGCATGAACCAAAAAAGCTGCACATAAAATGGCTAAAAATAAAGAACAGAAAAATGTTTGCTTTTGAGACAAGTTAAGGTAATTTGATGAGGCTCGCTTGAAATGGAAACACGAGCTGAAGCGACAATTAATTTTTGGCCTCGCGGATAATTTAATATTTCTAGCGTTTAATTAAATAAGTGTGTGGATGTATTTCTTAGGTTGTGGAAATGTAAGAAATTGACACATTTATTTAATACATTTATTCGTTTATAAACGCTTTAAGTTCAGAAAAAAAAAAGAGATACAAGCATAAGCATATGGTAAGCATATTGTATAAATACAAATTAGGTTTCGTCAAGTTCAACAAAAACTTAAGCACATGCACAAAGCCGGGCAGAGTGCATTTTAAAATATGCTAATTAGATGTTTCTTTTTGTTTTAGCTTGCATTTATTTGTTTGGCTTTTCTTTTCTTTTCATTATTTTTTGCATTTGCGGACAGTTGCAGCAAATATTCGATGCAGCTGTGTCGTTTCATTGTTCTCTTTAGGAAAAACATGGAAATACACGTGCGGTTGTTACAAAGGCTTTTTTTTATGCCTCTTCGAAATAATCTTGCAGCTGGCATATTGGCTTTTTGATTAATGATAACAGTTTTAATTAAAAATAAAAAAAAAAACTCTCTTCGATATGCCCGAAAGTAAAGCGCCTCAAAACGATGCAAGATTTTCTACTTATTTTCCATTCAAATCTCGGCAACTTATGGAATAATAGAAAAAGCTTTGTTAGGGTATTTAGACATCGACTAACCTTTGGCCTCACTTTTGCTCGTGTAATTACAATTTTTTCAGGTCTCTTTTAGCATATTTTACTATTGTTCTCTTGTTGTGACTACATCAAAGATATAGCTATATTATGTACTTATTTACTAGATGACATCTATATATATACAGCTATATAAATATGTATATGTAAATTTAAGCAGAAAACACTTAAAGGGTATAAATTCGTATAATATTGCCGCTTACAAATATTTAGATTCAATTTCATAGCTTAAATGGCTTTCATTAAATTGGTTTTATTTCTTTAGGTACAAGTACTCCGTTAAAGACCTGGTCGAGGTCCTTTTGCTAAAACAAACAGTTAGTTTAGACATCTATAAATTTGCTGTACTTTTAGTCAAAATTGTAAATATGAAGTGTATAACAATATCAATTGCATTGTCATATGTATTTATTTGTACTTAAATATATGCACACAAATATTTGCATATCTGCATTTATACATAAAATTTGCATTACGATTTCAACTACTGCACAATATGATCATATGCGGCATTATTATTTGCATTTAAATAAATACATAAATATATTATTGATTCGCTTACAAATCTTAATATGCTTATCGGCCTTTAAGGCATTTCCAATTGTGACATTAATTGAATAATTTGAGTTAGGTTTCTTGATGAAATGTGACACTTTGACACAAATTAATTTCGATACATGCCGCGAACAAATGTACATAATACATGTGTACATGTCTATGTGTACGCATGTACGCATGTAAGCATACGCATGTACGCATACGCATGTACACATGTATTGTGTAGGTTTATTTTTCTCAAGTGCCTACATTGTGTGGTAGGATTAGTTAGACTTTCCCTGATAGTACGTATCAGACTCGCAAGTATCCACAAGATACATTTTAGCTTGTACCTATACATAACTAATTAGTAGATACTTATTAACTAGACATAACGAGCACCTGCTTAAGGTTTTGCTCATACATGGCCTTAGCATATACTAAATACTCACTTAAGCATTTTACTCGGAAACATTTTCGTTAAGCTCATTTAACATGTTTTCTATCACTTCGTTGCCATGCCCATGCGCCCCATAAGAATTTTGTTTATTGTTGTATTATGTTTGCATGGAATGGGAATTTATACACATATATATTTATATGTATATCTATTAGTTGGTTATAATTGCTTTGCTCGGCAGAGAAACACGACAAAAACGGCGGCTGCCATTAATGCTAAATAATACAACGGGCTGGTTTCTCATTTCGTGTTTCTTTTGAATCGAAATCTAGCGCAATTTCAGGTGAAACACAATAGCTGAGCATATTTGCAAAATATTCAACTGCGACATCTTTAATATGAGCTTATTTGATTAATTTTGGAAATATGGAATATTTACTTCCCGACTTCCGAGTCTCCTTTAAAGGGCAAATGCGAGCTTAATTAGTTAAAGCAAGCTCTACTAACATTAATAATTTAATTTAATTAAAATGTTCTATATTATATGTTAATTTGATTGCAAATATATAAACAGAATAATAACTCGATTTTTTAAGCTCGGCCACTTAAAATTCTTGTTTACGGTCATATACTATTCTACATTTGATCACGTTTTGCCCTGTCTCCCTCCCACTCTCCCCCCTCTCTCTACATAGTATTATCAATAAAAGTAGTAGAAAAATATTGATTACCTCTTTCGGCCGTCAACCAATTGATGTGGCAAGCTTCTTTAGAACTTACTCTGTTCCATAGCTATCGAGGTGGAATTATTGATTTCGGCCACAACGATTATCTCGTCGTTCTCCTCCGTTTCCTCGGGCACCATCATTAGGTTGTTGTTCAAAGTGTAGGGATCAGCGCGGTTCTCGCCATCGCCGGATGTGTGGCGCATGCGGTGCGTGAAGGAGCGTGTCATATAGGTGGAGCGTGTGGTGGACACGCGCCGCAAAGCGCCACGCCCATACATGAGCATACGAACCTCAACACGAAATCTGGGATGCGTAGCGGCATACAGATAGGGATCCACACAGGCGGCCGTTTTGCAGAAGAGCGCAGGTATCATGGAGCCCAGCGGCGTGATGTGCTGCTCCTGGCCAAAGACGCCCATCATGGCGACAATTGCGTAGGGCGACCAGGCAATGAACCACAGGCCAATAATGGCAGCCACTATAAACGTGAGTTTCTGCTCGGTTTTGGCCTTATCCTTGTTGGACTGTATGCGATTCGCCATGAAGACCACCTTCAGTATGTAGAAGTAGGAGTAGACAATCGAGATCAAGGGTATGCAGTAGGCGGCCACAAAGAAGAGCGCCATAAAGATGCGTGCCGGCGTCTCCTTGTTGAGATAGTCAAAGCTGCAGGTCGTCAGATAGCCCTCCGGCACATAGACAGACAGACCCACATCCAGGGCGGGCATCACGGCAAACAGAAAACTATAGCACCAGATCAGTATGATGATCAGATAGGATCGCAGGCGCGAATAGCGGCGCAGCGGCTGCAGCGGATGCACCACCACATTATAGCGATCCAGAGCGATGGCCGTCAGTGTTCCAATGGCGCAGGTGCCGCTGAGTCCGCCCACAAATCCATAGATGCGACAGGCTGCATGTGTTGGGGCAGCAGTTGGGGGTAAAGAAGCGTATTTTGTCATTTTGTTCGATGCACTTACCCATGTCGCCCAGGGCCGGACCCTCTTGTATGTTATTGTAGATGGCAATTGGGCACTTGATCAGCATCAGGAAATCGCATATGGCCAGATTCATGACCAGTATATTGGCCGGTGTACGCAACGATTTGCGGCTGCCGAACATGAAGATGACAAACGCATTGCCAAAGCAGCCCACCACCGAGATGAGGCAGTAAAGTCCGGCCATGATGTAGAACGAGCTAGTGCCAGGTGGTTCGAATTGCAGCCAAAACGGATTCACCTTTGCTATATAGTCCAGATCGTATTTGTCGCGATAGTGTATATAGCCGGGATATGCACTACAAACGAAACAAACAAACAAATTGATAGCGAGTTCGGCGTGTTCTCCTTTCAAGGGCTGTCAGCCTAAAAGTTGGCGTGTGCAAAGGCTATTAGCGAGGAATTCTATCGTTTCTTACACTTGCCATGTATACCCTGTAAAATGGGCAGATATCTGCGACTTTCAAGAAGTTCTCTGTTAAAATTTAATCTGATCCTTAATTTGTGTCTCCCAAACTGAGTTAATAATGTGAAAGTAGATAAATCAGTGGAAATATAATAAATACGTTCTACCGAGAGGTCAGCTTTTAAGTTTATCTACAGGGTATGTGGTTAACGACTCACTCGCCTTCATTCTTACACTTTTTGCTCATATACAAATCCAACTTTAGGCGCATCAATTCTGTAATGGAGCTCAGAAGAACTCAGCGTACAACCTCACCTCAGATCTGTCTCGCTGTCATTCACAGCATGCGAATGCTTGTCATGAACTTTGGTAACATTCGCTGTGGCTGCTGTTGAAGCATTTGCAGCTGCCGCTGCCGCTGCCGCTGCGACTGTTGTTGTTGTTGCCGCTGCTGCTGCAACGAGCGTTGCGTTCTGTGCCGCCTCGCTGCTGTTGCTGCTGCTGCTGGTGAGCATCTCGGAGAGGGCGCTAGTTATCCAGAGGCTGCCATCGTCCGATGTCAGCGTGGGAAATGTTGACATAATGGTCTCCATGTCGGCACCGGCTATGGCTCTGGCTCTCTGTGTACGGTTTATGCCAAATTTACGAGTTTTTCTACGGGCCGAAGGTTGCTGCAGCTGATGCTGTTGCTGCTGTTGCTGCTGCAGATAAATATTGCATGTGGCACGCTGCGTATGCGTGATGTGTGTCCGTGTCTTGTGCTAAGGACTGGCTTTGTCTCCAGCTGAACCATCCGCCTTATTTAGTCATTAGCTCAATTACCGCAATTGGTGCGGTGCGCCTGACTGCGGTGACCTGACATCGGCATGCTGCCTCCGGCTGTCTTCATTGGTGCTCCCGCACAACCGGTGCCAATGGATTGTTGACTTCAATCTCGGTGCAGCACTGAAAGTAGACAAATAAAAGTGCATTTACGCTTTAATGAGCTTTTCCTGATTTCATTGTTCGTATCCGTGTCCGTGTCCGTGTTCGAATTGTTTAAGTAAAAATCTATTAAAATGCAGCAGTAAACTGTGGACTTGGCAACTTCAAGCGCGGCGCGGCGCGGCGCGGCACGGATATTTTCCATTAGCGCTCATTAAAGCTTCTAATTTGGCATGCATTGCATTTTAATAATACAAACGGAATTTATGTACACTCGGATACGTTCTGTAAGTCCGAAACGCAACCGTGTACATTTAATATATACATATATATCAAACTTTCGCATAAATGCACTCATAACTTTTCATGGTTTAGCCCACAAGCGCAATGAATAGGAAAAGTTATTAAAAGCAGCACGAAATATAATAACATTGTTTAAAAGCCAGGTCAACATAATTGACGCACAGTAAGGCCAACAAAGTGCAAATTTTCAAGCCTAAGTTAATATGATAAAACATTGGAAGAGGTTTTAAGTTCAGAAATTAAATTAAGCAGCACACGACTTGAGCTTGATTAAAGCGCACCAATAAATAAGTATGACATGGTCCGGCCCAGGCACAATATTTGGCCAATATGCGAGGCATCTTCAAGCTTAACGAATGCAGCATTTATTATTTTGTTAAATAAACAACTACAGCACAGCAGTTATGCGAATCTGCATCTACTGCTGGATCCACTTGGAAGAATCGATATCCATTATCGCCTTGAGGCGACCCTTCAAACGGCAAGTGCCATTTGGTAGCACGTGTGCCTGTAATGCGGGTCCGGCTCTGGGATTATGGAAATCGGGCAAGCGTGCGCGCATTTAATAAGACCTAGTTAATTGCTTATTAAATAACTGGCAGCCGGATCGTATCATGCTCAGAGCTGTTTGTGGGCCGCAAGTGCTTCTCAACACAAATAGTTGGAAACACAAACAGCAACTCAAACAGAGGCTGCACTTGAAGTTGTTGGCGGCGCAGGACAACTGCTTGTTGGCAGCAACAACAAGTGCAACAGCAGCAACAGCTAAGAAAACTTTCTTGAGCAACAGCAAAAAAAAAAAAAAAACAAGGCAACAGCTGTGGGGCAAGAGTCAACAATCTAGAACTACGACAAGCCGAAGGGCATCTTGTTGCCAGGGCTGAAAAAAAAGGGTTTGAACCGAACCAGTTGTCCAAAAACAAAACAGAAATTGAACCCTTTTAACGAAGAAATCTTGATTTTGCTTCAAGACAAGAGAACGATTTAAATTCAAAGGCCCAATCATTGGCATTGTCTTTATTTTTTAACAAATGCCCATTTCGTGTTGAGAATAAATTTAGGCCGCAATTTCTAACTTTTCTATATTCCCCGAAGACATGGTAATTATAATTTAAATGTGAATTGTTATTTTAATAAAACAAAAACAAAGGCTTAACCAATTATGTGTAAGCAAAAACATGCGCACAAACAAAAGATAGAGGCAGTAAATGGGTTTGAACTATGAACCCAATCATTTATATATTATTTTTGGGCATGCAGCCCTAATTTCTAATAGATGGCCTTTGCTGTTGGTTAGAGAGTTGGCCCGTTTACCGCGTACTTAAAAGGCAATAGAAGTAGTTTTGTGGCACATAATTTGCACTAATTGGCCAATGTCAATGGCCAAAACTTGGGTAGTGCTATATAAAATACTAGAGCACAGGAAAGTGCTCCATGCTTTTGGTACGCTTTTGTTGTGCCATCAAAGCGGAATTCATTTAGTGAAAATTCAAATGCTTCTAGGCCCTTTGTTAACAACGAGGGTGGCGTCAACATCGACATTAGCTTTCTGTCAATGGGCCAATTAATTATGGTTATCACATGCAAAGGGGACACAGGAATTCCAATTAAATAAGTAAAATTCTTTGATGACAAAATGTACTCATTCGTTATCCGAACAGTGACAAATAAGCATCGTTTCTTGCTCTGCAAAAGCATTATCGATACTTTAAATCATTTGACTGCAGTAAGCGCTTGACTCACAAACAATAATGGGAATAAGCAAGAAGCTTAAGACATTAATTCTATTGTAAATTTTAGGGAACGACTTATATGTGTGGCAACTCCTTGACAAACAATGCCCGACGGTTGCAAGTGTTTACCTTCTGCATTTGTTAAATCAATTAGCTCAATTGCATTTGTTGGCTACAACAATTGTTTTCTTGTGCACTGGGCACCGTTTCTATGGAGCATAATGCATTTTCAGTGAAATTTTCTGAGACTAGATTATCGATAAGCTCTCGTGGCCAGCTATAGACGCATTGACCCATTCAAATGTCGATTTTCATTCTAGTTGGGGCTTTTGTTCACGACCTTTTCAAAGCAATTCCATTTCACACACTTTCTAGACAATCCCTTTTGTACGAACTGCAGCTAAGCGAAGAAGGCAAGCCGGAATTGTATGTGCTTTGTACCAGTTTATTTTCGAGCTTGGCAGCAGCTGCCAAACATTTCTAAGCCATTGTATTGAGCGCATCATCTGCTATCTAAGAGAATTCAAATTAAACCAGGCAGCGCACTTCGACCAATAATAGCCGGGCAATGCGCCACTCAGCTGCACTTGCAATTAAGTTACACAAGGAAATAGTTTATTTGCACCGACTTAACCGCTGGCTAAGTTTTGGCGATGGAGGGGAGGGAGTGTTGTGTAGTGGAGGGAGCTGCCTCTAGCTTTGCTGCAACAATTAAGCGCCACTTGTGGTCCGAATTAAATAAAGTGAGTCGGCGGAAATTGCAGAACGCACGCCTAAAAGCCTGCAACAGCTATTATTATTTTGTTAAGTAATATTGCGATTTCTTTTAGCTTAGTTTTCGCTCGGCATTTCGCACGCAATTGCTTTTAAATGGAAAAAAACCAAAATGCAATTAAATGGCTTTACAACATATTTTTTTGTTTGTTTGTTAATTGAACTCTTTAATAAAAAAAACATAAGGCTTTTAGTTAAATTCCTTCGTTGTGCGATATTAATAATAAAATAAAAAAAAAGCTAAGCCCGCCAATTTAAATGACATTTTGCCTAACGCCTGCAAAATAACATAAGCTATGCAAAAAAAAAAAATAGTAATAATAATTCTAAAATTTAAAGTGAATCCGAGCTTAAAGTTTCATTTTACAAATTGCCGCATAGTTGGGCTTGTTGAATATTCTCTTTTCGGCGTTAGGGATATATTTTTTGCCGCCATTATATATATATATATATATAGATATATGTGTATTATAAATTGCTGCAAAATTGTACAAGCTTTTTTTGTTGCTAGAAAGGCTCTTTAAACTAACAAATTTGTAGAGTTCTGCTTGAAAAAACACGTTGATTAACGACAGGCCATCAGAGACCTGTCAGTTGTACTAGGCTCTGCTCTCCAATAAAAATACCCAGAAATATATTTTCCAGTCTGTAGTCAAGCAAAGGCTTTAAAAAGGCCAACAATTTGTACGGTTAGTGAGTGCAACAGACAGCAGCAGAAGGCATTTGCGAGCATATTTACATAAATTCGATAAAAATCTATATTAGAATTGTGTTTTACGAGCACATCTCGAAGCCTGCAGACTGTGCGGACTCTCGTAAATATACCTTATCAGGCACATTTTCTTTATCTAGCTGGAAAGTGTCTTGTTTTCAATTTGTTCATTCAAATGCGAGCTGCATCACAAGTGTGAACATAAATATATATGCATAAGTAATTTGTTGTAAAATTTTGGTTTTTTAAATTGAATTTTTTACTACCAATAAAGAGGTGGTGTTGTGTGTATTCGTGTGTGAACTGAGTTATGACAAGCTGAGCCCCAGCTAAGGTTGGCCGCATAAAATATGCCGCCTTTCGCTGTATTGCAGAGCACATGAGCCCCTCAGCCGTTCAGCCCCTCAGTTCGCTTCGGCTGACTACAAACTTATATTGATTTATGTTCGCGCCAGTTCTCATTTTTACTAGTTTTCACTTATGTGCGACAATTTTTGCAGTTCTAAGCGGCAATTGCTGCTGTTGCTGCTGCCACCCAAGCTCACAAGCTGCCAAGTCCTAAATGCAATGATTTTTTATTTTTTTTTTTTGCCCACTTACACGTGTAGCTCAAGGCTGAAGGATAGAACATTTTTGTGTCGCCATCAACAGGCACTTTAAGGCCTAAATTGTGTATTCAGATAAATCTGCAGCAGACGGAGGGCGAGATTAAATGGTAGCTTGTCTGAGCTTTAAGCCATGAATGTGTTACAATTGCAGCCTGGCTCAAATGTCGCTGCTTGAGTATCCTTTGCCGCTGCATACGCTGGACAAGTGCACCCCAGAACGAGTACTCCAGGGTATAGTTGCCAGCGAAACCGCTTGAAGGCCAAACGCTTGAGAGCATTCAGCTCGTGTTCCTTCGCACAGCGCAGCCGGCCGGCCACTCATTGCCGTTTGTCTGACAGAATGCAAAGACTTGTTTACAAGAACTTGATAAATGCTACAAAGCTCGGCGTCCACTCAGGTGTGTCGGCCAAACAAAGAGCTGGTGCTGACCCATCTCCAGCTCCATCTGCTACTGCAAGCGCTTAGAAACTCTTATTCGAGCTTAATCTCTTGTAAATTGCGGTTGCTTTTATTTTTATGCACAATTTCTGAGATTTAGATAAGGCAGCTAAGCCTTCAAATTGCATTCATCACGTTTGTTTAGCTTCTGTGTGCTTTATTGGATTATTAAATAATAAGTGAAGAAAACGTTTAATCTCAAATACGCCACAAACAACTCCGTTGACCAGCTCAGCAAAAAGTTATGAAAAGGTTGACAAGAATGTTGTCTGATTGGCAGGAATACAAGTTATCCCAAAATAAAATTAAGTTGATGTCAACCAAACTGAATCAGAACGAAAAGTTCTGCAATCAATAATAATACAGCTGCTAGAGCAAAATGTTTAATTCAAAGCTCGAAAAGGGTCCGCCAACCGGAATTGATCAATTGTTATTCATATATTTTGCTGTTC